GCTTGAACAGGAGGTTCGCTCCAAGTATCCAGAGTTGTTTTCTTCCTCGGGTATGTCTTGATTTCGGGGACGAAATCTTTTAAAGTTGGGGAGAATGTAACATTTATGGCATGTTATATATATATATATATATATATATATATATATATATATATATATATATATATAATGTTGATTAAATTATACATTTTGTAAATTGTAAAAGTTAGTGGACCCACTCTTGTCAATTACTATCACATGTGACAAAAAGGCATTTACAGACCCATCTTTTTTTCCTCAACCAGTTTTCTCTCTCGGCAGTTCTCTCTCCCGCTGCTTGTTTTCTTTTTTTCTTTTACAACCTTCAACTTTTGATTAGTCCCTCATCTCTTAGTGTTTTTAAGTGCCATTTGAGGCAAAACGAAGCCCACGACGAGCTCGAAGCCCACGATGAGCTCTACGTGGTTGTACCAACAATTTTAGTTTTGGTGCTCATTTGTGCATTCGAGTTTAAAGACCCACTTTCAAGGGTTTTGTTCAATTTAGAGGTAGGGGCACTTAATCCATGTTTTTCTTGCTCCATTGTGAATTATATCTCTCTTGTTGTGACAAGCATGTTTAATTTGGAAGTTAATTATTTCAATAATTATATAAATGATGTTTAGGAAAATTCATGATTATGAATATGAGTTGAAAAGCATGCTTAGAGGTTGTCTTGTTGTGTTTAATGTGTTAATAATTCATTTGGAGATGTTGAACATGATGTATACTTAATTTTGTGGTGTAAAATTCTGTGTTGTCTTGTTGTGTTTAATGTGTTGATAATTCATTTGGAGATGTTGAATATGATGTATGCTTAATTGTGTGGTATAAAATTCTAAATGCCATAATATTGAAAGCATGGGACATATATACATGTACATACCATTGGGTTTGCATGAAATGGGAGAATTTACTTGAAAGAAAAAGGGAAATTTTGGGAAAAGAGTTTTTACGAAATGGTTTTATGAAAACCCGGTCGCCGCGAGGGTACCAAAGGATCGGAGTGTTAATATAGCCTAGAGGGGACTAGGGAGTCGCCCTAGCGTGGTTGAGCTAGCTGGGCCCATAATGACGCCGCGGGGATACCAAGGGTCAGGGACACTAGCCAATCCTCCTCTCGTGCCGCTGCGGGGTCACCAAAGGGTGGGTTGTATTAACAGTTTAAAAGTGATGGTTTTGAATGTGAAAATGGGGAGTGACATCGGCATGCATTTGCATTCCATGTCATTGCATTGTTTGCAATTGAGTTTGGTTGAAATGTTGTATTATCCCGACATTATATGATCCCCATTCCTATTGATCTATTCTTTGTATGGATTCACAAGGACACAAGATGCGTGTCTTAAGTGCTACCTACTGAGCTTTATGCTCACCCTATTATTTAATAATTTTTTTAGGGAAACGGGAAAGAAGTGGCGGATGACTTTCCACCACAGGCCTAATTTGGATTAGAAGACTTCTTTTTGCTATTTTTGTATTAAGTCCCATATTTTTGTAAAATCTTAGTTTGTTATATATGGTATAGAGATTTGTAAACTCTTGTTATTGTAACTATATTTTGGGACTGTAGTTATGATAATTTGGATTAAATGGTATGTAGATGTTCCACCATGAGATGAGCCATGTTGAGGTATAATGAACGAATGGATGGGATGTTGGAGTATGTTAATTGTATTATGTGTTGGGATAGGTTAGAGGTGTTTTGAAAGGCCAGGAAGGGCCATTGCGTTTTTTTAATTATTTGAGCACGTGGTTGTAGTCCCCTTTTTAGGAGAGGTCATGCCAAAAAAAATTTTAAAAATGGTATCAGTTTAGGGTCGTTACACATTTGGCCGAGCATCTGGCTACGGTGATAGCCCTAATATAATTCAAGGATTTCTGCAATGGGTTTCTGCTAAGCATGTTGTTAGAAGTCCAATCACGGTTAAGTTTGAGTGAGAAGGTGGAAGTGGTTCCGGCAAACAAGAAGGCTCAAGATTTTCTAAAGCTTAACAATTTGTTTGAGCATTGTTATTTGACAAAATTACTGAAATTGGTAATCAAATCAATTGACTAAAGAATTGGAAATACACTCTTATATATACATCCGAATAATGCTATTCTAGGAAGCTAATAAAAACTGATCCCTAGAAATCAGGGATTGCAATAACTAATAAATCTCTAGCTATTAACAGCCTGTAGCCTGTAAATCTCTAGCTATTAACAGCAGCCTGTACACAACCAATAAATCCCTAGCTATTAACAGCCTGTACACAACTAATAAATCTTATTTTCCCACACTCCCCCTCAAGCTGGTGAATGGATGTCATCCATTCCAAGCTTGCTGGTTATTCTCTGAAAAATGGTACAAGGCAATCCTTTGGTAATTACGTCTGCTAGCTGTTCTCCAATATAAACAAAAGGAGTACAAATGAGGCCACTATCCAACTTCTCTTTAATAAAATGCCTATCCACTTCAATGTGTTTTGTGCGGTCATGTTGCACAGGATTGTGTGCAATATTGATGGCTGATTTATTATCACATTAAAGCTTCATTGGACCTTCCCATCTGACTCTCAAATCTTCTAGGATTATCCTTAGCCATAGTAGTTCACATATCCCGAGTGCCATCGTTTTAAATTCAGCTTCTTCGCTGGACCTTGCAACCACATTCTGTTTTTTGCTTCTCCAAGTAACGAGATTACCACCAAGGAAGGTGCAATAGCCCGAGGTTGATCTTCTGTCAATCACGGATCCTGCATAATCTGCATCTGTGTAGGCTTCAAGAGTCAGTCCTTTCCTTTTCTTAAACAGAATTCCTCTTCTTGGCGTACTCTTCAAGTACTGCAGAATTCTATACACAGCTTTGAGATGTGATTCTTTAGGATTGTGCATGAATTGACTCACAACACTCACAGCATAAGCTATATCTGGCCTGGTATGTGACAAATAAATTAACTTCCCCACAAGTCTCTGAAAAGAGCCTTCATCCACGGCCATGTCTTCTGGAGCATCACAAAGTTTGTGGTTTGACTCCATAAGTGTCTCAACTGGCTTACATCCCAGCTTGCCTGTATCAGTAAATAAGTCTAACACATATTTTTGTTGTGATATAAAAATCCCTTGCCGAGAGTGGGCTACTTCAATACCAAGAAAGTACTTTAGTTTTCCTAGCTCTTTGATCTCGAATTCCTTCACTAACTATTTCTTCAAACTCTCAATTCCTTCCAAGTCATCTCCTGTTACTATGATGTCATCCACATAGACCAACAATACTGTCACTCCCCCTGATGCTGAGTGTTTTACAAACAATGTATGATCACCTTGACTTTGCTTATATCCCATACTCACCATCACTTTGGTAAATCTCCCAAACCAAGCTCTTGGGGATTGTTTCAATCCATACAAAGCTTTTTAAAGCTTGCATACCATTCATTCCTTTTCATTTGAGCCAAACCCAGGCGGAATCTCCATATATATCTCCTCCTTAAGATCGCCATGTAAGAAGGCGTTCTTGACATCAAATTGCTGTAATCTCCAGCCAAAATTTGCAGCCACTGATAACAGAATTCTCACAGTATTCATCTTAGCAACTGGAGCAAAAGTCTCAAGATAATCTATACCGTAGGTTTGTGTATACCCTTTGGTAACTAATCTTACCTTATACCTTTCCAAAGAGCCATCTGAGTTGTATTTGGTTGTGAACACCCATTTACACCTAACCGGCTTCTTCCCTCTAGGCAGTCTCACCAAGTCTCAAGTCTTGTTTTTCTCAAGTGGTTCTATTTCAACCTTCATAGCATTTTCCCAATTCTCATTTCCTAATGCATCAGATAAAGTTTTGGGAATAGGGACTGTATTTAAGCTAGTAAGAAAGGCCCTATGGTTATGAGAAAGATTCTTATATGACATGAATAGATAAAGAGGGTGTTTGGTACAAGTTCGAGTTCCTTTTCTATTTGCAATAAGGACATCATAATCATTTTGTTCAGAGGTTTCATTAGTGTTATCATTGGGTTGAGTAATTACCTCGACATTGTCAGTAACAGATTTTGGTGATTGAACTTGCACAGGTTGAGAGATTGGTACTCTTTTCCTTGAGTAAATCTGCAATGGATGAGTAGAGTCTCGAGTTTGATTCCCATGTAACACTCCTTGTGATTTGGGTGTATGAGGCTCGGCTTCTAATCGTGTGTTTGGCTCGGACTGTATGTTTGGGAGTATGTTTGACTCGGATTGATGAGAGATAAGGGCTGGAAACTCAAGGAGAAAAAAATCCTTATCCTTATCTTCTATGAAGGATATCTTCCCTTGAAGATAAGGACCGTTAAAGTACTGGTCTTGTTCGACAAAAGTAACATCAGCAGACACATAAAATCTCCTTGTCGGAGGATGATAGCATTTGTAGCCCTTTTGGGTGGAGGAATAACCAAGAAAGACACATTTGAGAGCTCGAGGATCAAGTTTTCCCCTGTTTTGAGAATGCACATGAACAAAGGCAACACAACCAAATATCTTTGGAACAAGATTATTAGATGCGTTAAAATTGGGAAAGAACTGTGTAAGGACCTGCATTGGACTTTTAAAACCAAGGACTCTTGTAGGAAGCCGATTGATGAGATGAGCAGCGGTTAAAACAACCTCCCCCCCAGTGTTGTTTTGGAACAAGAAAGCTCTTGTAATATCAAGAAGGTGGCCATTCTTTCGTTCGGCCACCCCATTTTGTTGAGGTGTGCTAACACAAGAGGATTCATGTATTATGCCCTATTTTTGGAAATACGGAGAGAGAATTTGATTAAAGTAGTCCTTAGCATTGTTAAATCGGAATCTCTTTATCACCACACCAAACTGAGTTTTGACCATATTGAAAAAAATTGGAAACACAGAACTCACATCCGATTTATTTTTTAACAGAAAAATCCAAGACAAACGAGTGCAATCATCAATAAATGAGACAAACCACCTTGCCCCAGAAATATTAGTAACAGTGGAAGGTCCCCAAATGTCACTGTGAATCAAGGTAAATGGAACAGAAGTTCTTTTATTGCTGATTTGAAAAGAAGTACGTTTGTGCTTTGCAAGTTCACATACGTCGCAATGAAAATTTTCAATGGATAAACTTTTGAACAATGAAGGAAACATTATTTTGAGAACACTAAATGATGGGTGACCAAGACGAAGGTGTTGAAGCTATATCTTATCTTTATTGGATTTGAATGACTCGGAAAGAAATGATAATGGTGACAAACGCTCAACTCTATTTTGTCCATTTGATTCTTCAAGGTAGTATAGACCATCCCTCTCCCTAACATGTCCAATCATCCTATTCGTGCCCTGTTCCTGAAATATACAATGGAGAGGATAAAATGTCACACTGCAATTAGAATATGTAGTGAGTTTCTAGATTGACACAAGATTGGTGCATAGTTTTGGGACATAGAGGACATTCTTAAGTGTAAGGTGATCATTCAAAAAAATATCTCCTTGACCAGCCACGGTTGTCACTGAACCATCAGCTATTATTATTTTCCTATTGCTAGGACAAGGGGTATATGAAATAAATTTTTTTGAGGAATGGGTCATGTGATCTGTAACTCCTGCGTCAATGACCCAGGAGCTTGAGGAGACTATATCCGAAGCACTAAAAACATGAAAAGAGGGGGAAGGAGAGGAAATACCTGAGAACACCAAAGAACAAGTACCTGCTGTAGACGGTTTCTCCAACGTTCCCAATAGGCTCCTTAATTTCTCTATCTCTTCTTTATTGAATTCAGCAGATGGGATTGAAAGATTGTCTTCACTGTTGGATTGTGTGGTTGCCACACGTGCCTGTCCCTGTCCTCTTGGCTGTCCACTCTTTTCTGACCAAGCTTTGTTCACAATTTGACGCTTGCCATGGAGCTTCCAACACTTCTCCTTAGTATGGCGGGATTTTTTACAGTATGTACACCACAGAGAATCCTTGTTGAATGGTTTTGACATATCAATTCGCCCATTGCCTTATCCAAAACGCTGTTCGGAGCCATAATTCTTCATAGCCGTGTTTTTTGACACCAAGGCCGAACTCTCTACTGTGTGAGTTTCAATCATAACACCCATTCTTCCTTCCTCAGCAAGAACAATTGCAATTGCCTCATTTAAGGTTAGCAGATCTTCTTTTCCAAGTATTTGTACTCTTACAGCATCAAATTCAATGTTTAAACCTGCAAGAAAATCATAAATTATGTCCTTTTCAACAAACCTCTTGATGATGGCTGCATCTTCACTGCACTTCATCTGAATGCAATGATAATGATCCATCTCCTGCCATAGACCCTTCAAGAGGTTGGAATATTCGGTGACTGACCGATTACCCTGTTTGGTAGCAGAGATTTTGGTCTTGATCTCATAGATCTGTGCAGCATCACGTACTTTGGAATAGGTCTGCTTAACTGCTTCCCATATCTCTTTGGCCGTGCTCAAAAACATACAAGTGTCGCTGATTTCTGGTAACATAGAGTTCCATAACCATGACATAACCATAAATTCTTGTTCATCCCAAGCATCAAACTTAGGATCCTCCTTCTCTGGACCATTACCAAGCAAGTGGCTTAGTTTCCCTCTTCCTTTCAAGAACGTGCGGACCATTTGAGACCATTTCAGATAATTTTTCCCGTTCAACCTATACGCTGCCTGAATATTCTGCAATTCTCTTGTTGGGAGAAAGCCGTTGCTTCCAGTTACAGGAATCTCTGAAGTGTTGCTGGTTTCAGTAGTTGCTGACATGATTTAGAGAGAGAGATGGAATCCACATGTTTGATAACACTGGATTTTCACAGAACAAAAACACTAGGAAAAAAGAATTAGCAAAGAAGGCCAAGAGAATATGATTACCCAGAAAACGAGCCTAGAGCTCTGATACCATGACAAAATTACTGAAATTGGTAATCAAATCAATTGATTAAAGAATTGGGAATACACTATTATATATACATCAGAATAATGCTATTCTAGGAAACTAATAAAAACTGATCCCTAGAAATCAGGGATTGCAATAACTAATAAATCTCTAACTATTAACAGCCTGTAGCCTGTAAATCTCTAGCTATTACCAACAGCCTGTACACAACCAATAAATCCCTAGCTATTAACAGTCTGTACACAACTAATAAATCTTATTTTCCCACATTATTTTGTGATGTGAACTGTCTGTCTGAAGTTTCCAGGGCAATCAAGCTGATTAGGGAAAACCCAACATTTGGAAAATTAAACTGTTACACTAAAGGGCATTCAGGTCATAATTATGAAAGAGAGTTGAAGGTGTATGGTCTTTTTATAATTAGATCATTGTGTTTTTCAAAGCTATATAATAATTAAGGAACAAGCAATTTCATCACTTGAATTGTCAATGCAAATGGATTTTATTATTAATTGGATGATCAGGCAAGCTTTCATTTGACTTGAACAGACTAAGTTCTATAATTTATCTCCAACTAGAGATTTAGTAGCAAATTAGAAATAAAAAAAAAAAATCAACACTAGAAATGGGCTGCATTACATACCTCTTTGGGACTTTTGGCTTCTAGAAAGTATCATTGTTGACTCGGGTCTTGGGAAAGATGCTAGGGTTGACAGAATTGCTGGATGGAGGCATTGGTCCAGCCTCCAGGAACCGCACTGCTTTCTAACATCCCTCAAAACTTGAAACCAATTCAATATAATATAGCTTCATTAATGTGGCAACACAGTAGGCCTCAAGGTCCCCTGTTTCTTTGCATAATATTTTATTGTTTAAAAGCTCTATTCATAGGCACTTCTTCCTTTATATGGAGGCTGGCTTTGGAAGGGAGACTGAATACTCAGGATAAACTTGAGAAATATGATCTGATTGATTCCATGAGTTTTTTGTGTACATTACTCACAGAAAATACCATCTCTCAGCTTGATATACCATCATCTCTCCCTTCTCCATGTCCCAGCAGGAATGACAAGTACAGATGGGTACCTTCTCCTACTGGAGACTTCACCATCAGCCACACAATCAAAGCAACCCACCTTCACAAACTACTGTCCCGTGGTCACTGACTCACACTTCACCTCATCTGGTTCAATCCTAGCAATAATTTCATTTTGTGGGTGTCTATTCACAAAAACTCCCATGGATCGTTGACCTATGAGGAACAGGCAATTGGATAATCTTTGCCCCTTCTGTTCGCATGTCATTGAATCCCACGACTATCTTTTCTTCAAATGTTCTTTTGTTTGGGCCCATTTGGTCATTTATTCAAACACGTTGTGCCCTTTTACATCCTTCCCTCCTCTTGGACTGTGTTGGTTGCTTGGGCAGCTCAACACTGGAAGAACCGAGTCAGCAATTACAGAGCTTCAATCTGCAAACGTTGGAGCATTGAGAGGACCTTTCCCTAGTACGAGAGGACCGGGAAGGACGCACCTCTGGTGTACCAGTTATTGTGCTCACAGTAAACGCTGGGACTCAGCTACTACTGTCTACAACATTTGGTGGAGCTGCCGTGTGTCATACACCGACCTCCTTGGCCACCGGACAGATCGGATTAACTTTCCTCTCATTTAATACTAATATTATTATGTTGGTGCATATAATTTGAGTTGTCTATGTTATTTGCCTCCTGATGTAAAGCATGCAATGCTTCATTACATTTTATATACCTTTTCCAGTTTTTGTTCTTTGGGTATGCCCCCGAATAGGCGATTATACATGGTTTTGTTTTTATAAAATTATCCTTACTTTAAAAATAAAAAATAAAAAATAAGAAAAAGTGAATGAGTTAAATGGTCAAATGATTTAAATTCATATAAAATTGGTGGAGCCCAATTCGATCAATGGTTCTCCATTCAACTTACATGAGAAATGAATACAAATGTTCAGAAGTTTTATGTCAACTAAAATTATCCTTAGATTTGTGTCATAAAATCATACAAAACATGTTAGTAACCGTACAGGCTGGGGGGCGTAAACCAATCAAATAGACATAGCTATGGCATGTTAAATACCATTTACCAAGGGGATTTTTAGTCACCAAAAAACGTTTGCGTTTTTATTTTAACCCAAAATAAAAATAACATTTTTATTGTAGAGTATTTTGAATAGTAATTAGAATCCTGTTTGATAACGTTTATTTGTTGCAAGATCTTTGAAAGCAAAAATATGAAAATATGTTTGGTAAAAAAAATGTTATAAGTTTGAAAAATATAATGGCAAGTATAAAAATGTCATTTTAGAACTTTTCACAAAAATAAAATAAAATTTGATACTGTTCATCGCTACCGTATTTGTTGTTACGTTATAGAAATATGTAAATAACCGAACTGGTCTTTCGACTTTGGGTCACTATTCACGAAGCGTTTTGACACCGTACAAAACAAAATACAGTATTATTTACCAAACTTGTTGCCCCCTAAAACACTGCTACAGTAACCAGCCCGCAACAAAAGCACAGAAACAAAAACGCCAACCAAACATGACCCAAAAAGCTTAATTGTTAAAAAACACTTTCTTTTTAAAAATTGTAACTGAAAAAATAGAAACAGCTTGCACTAGCTAATATCATTCCTATTAAATAATTAATTGAAACAACTTCTTGCATCAACATATAGCAGTAGATTAATTGATAACAATTCTCAGTTCCATATAAATCCCAATATGATTGAACTTGTACCGCAACTGGTTTAGAAAAGAAGAAGATCGGGTCCAGAGTACCTTCTCTCTCTCATATAGACCTTTTCCTAGTTTAAGATTACCAAATATGAATTTGAGACTGATTGAAATTAGAACGTAAGTTTTACAAAACTAAGAATATGATGATTAGATTGTAAAGTAGATCAAAAGCTGAAAAATATCAAAAAGAGAACAAATTCGTTATTGTTCACAAACATATTAAACATTACGCTAAAGATCTTAATACTATGTTATATATATATCTTATTTTTAACGATAGTCCTCTTATGTATTGACGCTCCCTAAAATTTTGTTGGTATATATCTGTTTGTTCCTAAACAGCAAACTCTTTTTGTAACCAAGCATAATAGAACAGGGTGGCACCAGAGCTACTAGGGGAGTCTCCAAAGTTAAACAAATTTTCAAATAGCTTAAGATTAACCGCCATTTTGTTCCTAACAGCATAGATTATCGGGTACTACTATGTCAGAGTTTCTTTCTCTCTTGTCAACTGTCCAGTTGTTATTTTATGCAATAGATCACGAGGACGCGTCACTCATGTCTCCAACCATACTATGAAACTTTGCAGACACCGGCCATTGCGAAAACCAACACAAACAGTAGTCGCTCTATATATATGTGTGTGTGTGTTATAGTTGGTGTAGTTATAGAGAGCGGTAGCATTCTCTATTTCTTTTACTATCATGGCGAACAAGAGGTGTGGATTGTTGCCAAACATGGCCATCATTCTCACACTCACCCTCATTTGCATGTTTAATTTCTATCCCACCATGGCTCATGGAATAGGATATTTCTCATCGGTAATGAATGTAGAGAGTGAAAGTGAGCCGAAAAGCAATGCAAATGAGCAAAGCAATCTAGAAACATACATTGTTCTGCTAAAGCAGCCAGATGGCCGAGTTTTTTCTGAATCAGAAGACTTAGAAAGCTGGTATCAGTCATTCTTGCCAGCTAGCACGGCAAGCTCGAATGAGCCCTCGTCACGGATGGTTCACTTGTATCGTAACGTGGTCACTGGTTTTGCTGCAAGACTGTCACTGGACGAAGTGAAAACCATGGAAAAGAAGGATGGGTTTGTATCAGCTTGGCCCCAGAAAGTATTGCCTCTACACACAACTCATAGCCCTAATTTCTTGGGTTTGCACCAAAACTTAGGGTTCTGGAATGGCTCAAATTATGGGAAGGGTGTCATAGTTGGAGTTTTGGACACCGGAATTACCCCAAACCATCCCTCATTTAGCGATGAAGGAATGGCTCCTCCACCTTCTAAATGGAAAGGCAAGTGTGAAAATGGGATATCATGTAATAACAAGCTCATCGGTGCCAGGAATTTCGTCAGCAGATCGACACCCGAGCCGCCACTCGACGATGAAGGTCACGGCACACACACTGCGAGCACGGCTGCCGGGAACTTCGTGGAAGGTGCCAATGTGTTCGGCCAGGCCAATGGCACTGCAGTTGGCATGGCACCTCGCGCTCATTTAGCCATCTACAAAGTGTGCGGCGCGGGTTGTTCCGAGAGTGCAATATTGGCAGCAATGGACACTGCTGTTGAGGACGAAGTGGACGTGCTTTCTCTCTCCCTTGGAGGAGGATCTTCTCCTTTCTACGCTGACGGCATTGCCCTAGGAGCATTTGGTGCAATGCAAAAGGGAATTTTTGTCAGCTGCTCCGCCGGCAACTCTGGTCCAGTCAATGCTTCATTGTCAAATGAGGCACCATGGATCCTAACAGTTGGAGCAAGTACTATTGACAGAATCATAAAAGCAACAGCAGTACTTGGAAACCAAGAGGCATTCGATGGTGAATCCCTATTCCAGCCAAGCACTTTACCACCGGAGTTATTTCCCCTTGTTTACCCTGGCATGAATGGTGATATGGACGCTGCATCATGCAGTCCCGGATCACTAAACAACACTGACGTGACAGGAAAAGTAGTGTTGTGTGAGAGAGGTGGCGGGATAGCAAGAATTGACAAAGGCCAAACAGTGAAGGATGCTGGTGGCGCCGCCATGATACTCATGAACCAGCAGCCAGATGGCTACAGTACCTTAGCTGATGCACATGTTCTTCCGGCAACACATGTGAGTTATGATGCAGGAATGAAGATCAAAGCCTATATAAACTCGTCCCCATCACCTATTGCCAGTATCTTTTTCAAAGGAACTATCATTGGAATAAAAAAGGCTCCCATGGTTACTTCATTTTCATCCAGAGGTCCCAGCTTGGAAAGTCCAGGCATTTTGAAACCGGACATTATCGGTCCTGGTGTGAGCATTCTAGCTGCATGGGCATTCTCTGTTGAAAACAATACCAACGCAATATCAACATTTAACGTCATCTCTGGCACCTCAATGTCTTGTCCTCATCTCAGTGGCATTGCTGCGTTGGTCAAAAGTGTGCACCCAGATTGGTCACCTGCTGCCATTAAGTCAGCCATCATGACTACTGCTGATCAGTATAACCTCGAAAACAAGCTCATTGTGGATGAGAGAATGCTTGTAGCTGACATCTTCGCAACCGGGGCAGGCCATGTGAACCCATCAAAAGCGGGTGATCCGGGGCTTGTGTATGACCTCAAACCGGATGATTACATACCTTACTTATGTGGTTTGGGTTACACAGACAAAGAGGTTGGAATCATCGCACAACGCCCACTGAACTGCTCTGAAGAATCGAGTATACCAGAAGCGCAGCTAAATTACCCTTCATTTTCAGTTGTACTCGGGCCTAATGAGAGGACATACACGAGGACAGTGACAAATGTGGGTGAGGCTAGTTCATCCTACAGTGTTGAAATTCTTCCACCTCCTGGTGTTTATGTGACTGTCAAGCCTCATAAGCTCGACTTCACTGAGGTCAACCAGCAAATGACATATAGCGTGACATTTAGCCAATCAACTGTGCAAGATAGCCCCACTGTTCTTCAAGGATTTCTACAATGGGTTTCTGTTACTCGTGTTGTTAGAAGTCCAATCACAGTCAAGTTTGAGTGAGAAGGTGGAAGTGGTTTCTGCAAATAAGTAGGCTCAAGATTTTCTAAAGCCTAACAATTTGTTTCAGCATTGTGATTTTGTGAAGTGAACTGCCTGAATAACATATATTGTGTCGGATGACTAATTATCCGCATTCAATTGTCTTTATCTGCATTCAATTGTTTTGAACGATTGAGGACAGGAAGAAATAGTTCAAATTGATCATATGAACATTTAGGAACTTTGTATGATTTATGACATTCAATATAAAAGTATTCCGCAATATTTAGAGCAAAGAATTTTTTTTTCTTCCTCCGGTAGGTCAGTGGAAACAATTTAATGAATTTATGTTGCATTGTGTTTACATTTTTGATAAGTTCATGACAGGAAATATCACAGGAAGTGTTACACTTTCTTTTTGTACTTTTTAGCTCTCAGTGCAAAGTGATTGGGTTTGTTGAAAAGCTCTCTATGTTTCTATCGTCAAGACTCCTAACCAATACAAAACTAACAATGGGAGAATTAACAAATCATGGAGGGATGGATGCAGAGCCGGCGGAAGTGTGGCAAGCTGAGAAATACCTATAGTTGCAAAGCTTTCTATGTATGTGAGAAGTACAGTGTTATCACCAATATAACACACACACACACAGTAGTTTTTTGCTTGAAGTAAGCTGATCCAGCTGCAGCAGTCATTTTAAGTGCTAGGTAGGACATGAGGTTGAAATTGAAATAGGATATGAGAAAACAAGCGGCCATTATTCCCCTCTCCGAAGGAGAGCTGAGAATTCAAGTTCCATTGCGAGTTTTGGACATGCCACTTGTTTAGAGAGGATTACAAAATTGATTAATTTTAAAATTTTATCTAAAAAACATAGAAACTACTGTTGGTAGTCATGCATGCCCTACCTAATATCATTCCTATTACAGAATTAAGTGAAACAACTTCTTGCATCAACATATAGCAGTGGATTAATTGATAACAATTCAAGTCGGATACATTTGCAGATTAAAGTACCTCTTCTAAATTCCATATGAATCTCAATATAATTCAACTTATACTGCAACTGGTGTAGAAAACTACAAGATTGGGGCTAGAGTACCTTCCTTCTCTCATAGACCTTTTCCTAGGTTAAGATTACCAAATATGGATGAACAATATCTTCATCCTAGTACTTAATCCCTAATTAAAAACTTCCAGCCACCTTTAAAAATTGTGGATGATATGAGATGGTGCAGGGTACACATGAATTAGAGACTCATTGAACTTAGAATGTAAGTGTAACGACTCAAAACTAATACTTTTAAAAAAAAAAAAAAAAATTCGGCACGACCTCCCCTAAAAATAGGCCTATCACAACCTGTTTAATTGCATTTTTAACCTGTCATGGCTCAAATTCCGAATTCACGGCAACAAAAGATAATGATACAACCTACTAATCTAGACAATGCTTCAAGTTAGGATTATCCTTCCATTCATTAACAAGTTACATATCATCAAGTTCGCATCCCATATGTCATCAAGTATCATAAGTGTATTACATGATCATGGTTCTTCAAAAGAAATTTACATCATTACACCTTTGGAATTTTACAAAAATGAGGGATGAACAAAGGAGTAGTCTATTACAAAATAACAAGGAAAATGCTCCTCTAGCAACTTTCAAAGTTGGGGTGGATTGTCGTCCACCGGTTCTTTTCCAAGACCTGAAAAAAATGTATAAATAGTAGGGTGAGCTATATGCTCAGTAGGTGACACTTAAGACACAATTCTTGTGTCCTAGTGAATCCAAATAAAGCATAGGCCAATGGGAGATTGGGGACATGCATTGAAGGGGAAAAACAATTACAAGTACAAGTCAAATTCAATCACACACAAATGCAAATGGAGTGAGATGCAATGCATGCTAATGTCACTCCCCGTTTTCATTCTCAAAACCATCACTTTCAAACGTTAATACAGCCCGCCCTTTGGTAACCCCGCCGCGACACGAGAGGAGGATTGGCTAGTGTCCCTGACCCTTGGTAACCCTGCGGCGTCATTATGGGGCCCAGCTAGCTCAACCACACTAGGGCGACTCCCTAGTCCCCTCTAGGCTATATTAACCTCCGGCCCGTTGGTAGCCCCGCAGCGACCGGGTTTCGCATAAAATCATTTCATCAAAAACACTTTCCCGAAATTTCCCGTTTTTGAAGTAAATCAATTCTTTCCCTTTTCCTGCCCAATGTTAATGCATGAATACCTCAATGACATACACAAGTTCATCATTCCATACTTTATCCAATTTAAGCAACATGGCATAATTCGCAAGAATAATCAAGAAAGTCATAACATGCTTATACATAACAAGTTCTAGCACAATGAACATATATAATCAAGTCCTAAACATGCTTCACATAGAACAATCAACAAATATAGTCACACAACTAACATATATGCATACATATCAACAATTCTCTAGATTTTAAACAACTAATCAAATTAAACAACAATTAGAGGCAATTAACTCACTAAGGTACAAGATTTCATGAATTAAGAGCCCCTACCTCAGGATTGCACCAAAACCCTAGAAAATGGGTCCTCAAATTCGAGCTCCAAGGAAGACTCAAAACCGGAAATTGATGGTATGGATGTATAGAGCTTGACACGAGCTTCGTTTTGCCTCAAACGGAACCTAATTCCAACAAGAAATGAGTGAGAAATCTAACCTCAAAGTTGAAACCAAAAATAAGAGAAAAATGAGCTTACGGGTTGAGAGAGAGATGCACGAAGAGAGAGAAAGGAAATCAGGAAAATGAGACCAACTTTATGGTCTTGACCCTTTTCTAAAGTGTCTTGTGGGCCCCACCATTAAATTATTTTTCTTTTACTTTTATATTACACTACACACACACAATAAATACACAGACATCACATTCTCCCCAACTTATAAGGATTTTGTCCCCGAAATCAAGACATACCTGAGGAAGAAAACAACGCTGGGTACTTGGACCGAACCTCCTGTTCAAGCTCCCAAGTAGCCTCCTCGACTCCGTGGTGTCTCCAAAGGACTTTCACCATTGGTATCGTCTTGTTCCTCAACACCTTCTGCTGTGTGTCAAGAATCTGAACTGGTCCTTCCTCGTAGGAAACATCCTCATCAATATCCACATCAACCCAACTCAAAATGTGAGATGGATCCGGCTCGTACTTTCGTAACATCGATACATAAAAGACATTGTGAACTCTGTCCATCTGCGGTGGTAAAACAAGTCTGTAGGCAACCTCTCCTACCCGATCCAAAATCTCGAATGGTCCAATAAATCGTGGCGATAACTTGCCACTCTTCCCAAATCTCATCAACCCCTTCCGTGGAGAAACCCGTAGAAAAACGTGGTCTCCCACCTCAAAGGATAACGGTCGTCTCCGCTTATCCGCATAGCTCTTCTGTCGGCTCTGAGCTGTAAGTAACCTCTGTCTTATCAACTTAATCTTTTCAGTAGTCTCGAGTACAATGTCGGGTCCTAAGGCGGCTGTCTCACCTACCTCAATCCAACAAACAAGAGACCTACAAGGTCTACCATACAACTCCTCAAATGGAGCCATCTGGATACTCGCTTGATAACTGTTGTTGTAGGCAAACTCAATAAGTGGAAGGTGATCCTCCCAACTACCTCCCAAATCAAGTACACATGCCCGAAGCATATCCTCCAAAATCTGGATAGTACGCTCCGACTGACCGTCCGTCTGTGGATGGAATGACGTACTAAGATGCAACGCTGAACCAAACGCTGCTTGAAGTCCTTCCCAGAACTTCGAAGTGAACTTAGCATCCCTATCTGACACAATGGTTACAGGAACTCCATGCAACCTTACAATCTCCTTCACATAAAGAACACCAAGCTTCTCTGCATCATCTGTTGCCTTAATAGGCATAAAGTGAGCCGTCTTGGTCAATCTGTCAATGATGACCCATACGGCCTCATTGCCCCTTCTTGACCTTGGAAAACCTGTCACAAAATCCATAACAATATGCTCCCATTTCCATTGCGCTACAGGTAATGGTTGCAACAAACCTGCTGGCCTCTGATGCTCGGCCTTCACCTGCTGACAGGTAAGGCATCTAGCCATAAACTGTGCAACATCATTCTTCATCCCGCTCCACCAATACTGACGTCTCAAATTGTGATACATTTTAGTACCACCTAGATGAACTGCAAAACGGGAAGTGTGAAACTCCCGTAGGACATCCTCACGACAAACTGTGGGAACCACCAACAAACCCCTGAACCGTAGACCCCCATCTGCATGCAAGGCCCAATCTTTCACTGTCCCACCACTAGAGATCAAAGCGTGGATGGCATCTAAGTCCGGGTCCTGTCTCTGTGACTCAATCACTCGTACAACAAGAGTAGGCTGAGCTACAAGACTAAATAAGAATGCCGACTCACTGTAACCATCATCATCAAAACACTGTAATCCCATCTCTGCCAGATCTTCAAGCATCTTCCACTTCCGAATAGCTAAACTGGCCAAAGTTCCACGAGATTTTCGGCTTAAGGCATCAGCTACAACATTTGCCTTGCCCGGATGATACTGCAAGTCAAAATTGTAGTCCTCCAAGAATTCGACCCATCGCCTCTGCCTGTTGTTCAAGTCCTTTTGGGAGAAAAGGTACTTGAGACTTTTGTGATCTGAAAATACCTCGAATCTCTCACCATACAAATAGTGTCTCCAACACTTCAAGGCAAACACAACTGCCGCTAACTCCAGATCATGAGTAAGGTAGTTAAGCTCGTGAGTCTTCAACTGTCGAGACCCATAAGCCACTACTCTACCATCCTGCATCAACACATATCCCAACCCGTCACGTGAAGCATCACAATAGATCACATAACCCAAGCCACGCTCAGGTATCACCAACACTGGAGCTGTAGTCAATCTCGTCTTCAACTCCTGAAAAGATGAATCACAGGCCTCATTCCAGACAAACTTGACCCCTTTCCGGGTCAAACGGGTCATAGGAGCTGCCAAACGGAAGAAATCCTTCACAAATCTCCGATAGTAACCCGCTAAACCAAGGAAACTGCGGATCTCAAACACATTCTTGGGTCGCTTCCAAGTCAAAACTGCTTCAACCTTTGATGGATCAACTGATACTCCACCTTCTGAAACAACATGCCCCAAAAACTTCACCTCCTGTAGCCAAAACTCACATTTCTCGTATTTGGCATACAATCGGTGCTCCCGCAAAATCTGTAAAACAATACTCAAATGGACCTCGTGATCTTCCCGAGTCCGTGAGTACACAAGAATGTCATCCACGAAAACTACCACAAACTGGTTCAAGTAATCGTGAAAGACGCGGTTCATCAAGTCCATGAATGCCGCTGGCGCATTAGTCAAGCCAAAAATCATAACAAGGAACTCATAGTGTCCATACCGTGTACGGAATGCTGTCTTCGGGATATCCTCATCCCTAACCCGCAACTGATAATAGCCAGACCTCAAGTCAATCTTCGAGAAACAACTGGCTCCCCTCAACTGATCAAATAAATCATCTATCCTTGGCAAAGGATACTTGTTCTTGATGGTGGCATGATTCAACTTCCGATAATCAATGCACAACCTCAAAAATCCATCTTTCTTCTTAGCAAATAAGACCGGTGCGCCCCACGGTGACACACTCGGTCGGATGAAACCTTTCATCCTCAAATCATCAAGCTGCCTCTTCAATTCTTCCAATTCAACTGGGGCCATTCGATATGGTGCCATAGAAATCGGCGCGGTACCTGGCATCAAATCAATAGAGAACTCCACTTCTCGGTGTGGAGGCAACTCTGTCAAATCTTCCGAAAACACGTCCAGAAAATCACAAACGACCGCAGGATAATCCTCTTTCCCAACATCATCTTCTTCGGCTATAAGGCTAGCCAAGAAGTAATCACCATGACTTCGTCCACGAACTCCATAAAACAATGAAATGTGGGAATCACTCCGATCTCCCACGAAAAAGAAACAGTCTCCCTCGGGAGTGCAAACTGTAACCCTTCCTCTGTAACAGTTGATCGTGGCATGAAATGAAGCCAACCAATCCATCCCGAGAATGACATCAAAGCTAGTCATCTCCAGGAGGATAAGGTCAAACACGAAAGTCCGCCCGACTATCACAATAGGACACTCCCGCACAATTCGGCTCAAAGACACTGAAACCCCAACTGGCGTATCAACACTCAACGCCCGTTCCAAGAAACTAACTTCCAACCCCGATGCAAGTGCAAATGATGATGAAATGGAAGAATGAGATGCACCAGAGTCAAACAAAACACGGGCCCAACAACCAAACACTGGAAATATACCTCGAAGAACTGATGGTCCAGAAGATGCATCGGTCTGTGCAAGTGCAAAAACACGTCCCTGTGGTACCTGTGCCTGAGGACTGCCAACCTGAAAACCTGACTGCTGCACTGACATAGTAGGAGTATCCCTCCTAACTGACCGTGAACCCTGTGAAGACATAGTAGGCTGTGGTGGTGGTCGTCTGAAACCTGACTGAACTGTAGCCGATTGTGACGGCCTCTGCTGTGACCCTCTGCCACTAGTGGTGCCTGCTCTCTGACTCGGACAATCACGAATCAAGTGACCCTGCTGGCCACACCCATAACAAGCCTTCGGAGCTGACGAAACTGAAGACGATCTCATCGGACAACTGGACTTGTAATGTCCGGGCTGCTGACACTGATAACAAACAACTGCACTCCTGTCAGATCCAGTTGGCATAGGAGTGGTAGGAGCAGAACTTGTAGACTGTTGCCCGTGAAACTGAGATGGACTGCCCCTGTTCCTTTTCCAAGAAGATCCCTCTGAGGATGGCCCTGCACCCCTCTTTTGCTTCAATTGCTCTCTTCTTGCATCCTTCTCTCTATTGTCAGCCTCCAGCATCAAAGCCCTTTCCACTGCTTCGGAGTAAACCTTAATAAACTGTGCCGTGATCAACGGCCTCATTCGATCATTAAGACCCGAGACAAACTTCCGAGTCTTGTTAGCTTCATCTCTCACCACTTCTGGAGCAAAACGGGAGAGTGAGGTGAACTTGTTCTCATACTCCGCCACTGACATGTTCCCTTGAATAAGATTATGAAACTGGTCTTGTAACTCCCATCTTTTGGAAAGCGAAAAATACTTCTCATAAAACAGCTCCTTGAACCTGTCCCAACTCATCTCTTCAATCTTGTACTGGTTGGTGATCGACTTCCACCAAACCTTGGCATCCATAGCAAACTTATAAGTTGCTAGGATGATCTTCAAGTGATCCTCTGTCACATCCATTGAGGTCAACTGAGTTTCGACTTGATCCATGTAGTTGTCGGCTACCATTGGGTCCGCACCGCCCTCAAACATAACCGGCATCAGCTGAGAAAACCCCTTAATGATCTTGAGACGCTTCTGAGCTGGAGTCTCCTCAACTTGAACTGTAGGTTGTGGTACCAACTGCGGCTGAGCAACAATAGTTGCTCTCACGGCATTTTGCAACAAACGATTAAACTCCAGTGCCACAGAACCTTCACCCACTTCTACGGGTACGGGTGTTTCAACATTCTCTCTTCTTGGGGGAACAGCTCTTGGGGGAATCAAGTCCCTAAGAAGCATGTTCTCATCAACTGGCTCCGCCGGATTGAAGCTAGAGCTCTCGCCAACATCGCCCCTTGTTGGCCTAGG